GTAACATAATGACAGTTTATCTAAGTAAGAATATCGGTATAACATCAGTAACGAAACTAGTTCAATGACTCCTTTTGGAGTATCTTTTTGCAGAATCGGAAGAATGCGAAAACTGATGCAGTAATCTACAATACTTATATCATTCGCATATACTAACATGGATTCCGTGACTACTTTTGTTATCAGGTTGGTTATCTTCATCTCGATGTTATCGCCTGTTGATGTCGCTGCAGGAAGAATCTCATTGATAGGCATTAGATTTTTATCCTTGTCTAATAGTAGCTCAATATCGATGCTATATCCAAATGGCGTTGCAACTTGTAACCTGTAATATCTATCTCCACCTACAAATTGGTGAATGGCAGGCACAACATTTTGTTCCAATGACGACAATGAGGTAGTAACGGCACAAAACGCTTGAACAAATTTCCTTTTATTTACAGGCGATAAACATTGGATGCTTGAATCGCCTGATTCTAATATTGTGGCTAAATCTATTTGATATAACTGAGTTGCTTCTATTTGTGAAATATATGGAGTTGCATCTAGCAAACGAAGTAGACTCAATTAAATATTATTATATCAACCTTAAAATCATCAACATTGTTATTACTGTAATGTATACTGTATCACCTATGATATTATTGATTTATGATAAAAGTAGAGGACTGCATGCTAGTATTATTCCATTAATGATTTAGTTACATATGGCGACAATTTTTGAAAAATTTCATAATAGCAGACATATGCAATAGCGATAAATGCCTATTTTATAATATCTTTACCTTCTATAAATTGATCGGAGAGAATTTTAGATATTAATCGAGGTGGAAATTGTTCCATTATTATCAGTGACCAAGTTGCACTAATAACTTGCTTATAAAATTTAGGAGTGTAGCGATTTTGTCGCTTCATCAGATCTTCTAATCGTTGAATAACGATTGGGAAGAATTTTTTACTGGCTGGTAATTCCAGTTTAAAATTCATCTTCCCCAGTGAATAAATTAACTGACATAGGTCGTCTATATTATAATGCTGATGATTATGTAAGAAATGCAAACAACCAGCAGTAAATAATTGCTGATCATCATAATTCATGCTTGCAAAGGCCCAAATGATGTTAGAAATTGACTGTGGTCGTAACGTTCTCTTGCCAATATTGTCTAATGTACGTTTTTGAATGAATCCAAAGATTTCATCATTGAACCAGTTTAACTTTGCGAAAGCCCAAGCAATGTTTGCGATACTTTGTGGATCTAATAAATTAATTATTGCTAGCATTCTATTTTCAATTGCCGTCAACAGTTGTTCCGATCTATCCCCGAATAAAGCCAGCGAATAACATACCATGGATATACTGATTGGATTAAATTTATTAATGTTATTGATTGCTTGTTGTTGTAACTGTTGAAAAATGTCTATGTTTAATTGATCTTTTGATAATGCCCACATTAAATTAGCGATATGAACTGGATTATTAAAGCTTGTGACTCTTTTTTCCACCACTGCTACCAGCTGATTTAAATAGAGTTTATTATTTAATTTAGGTATCGTGGAATACTGTATAAGACACCATGCCATATGAGAGAGTTGGCTGTTACTAAAAGATGGATATCGTTGGGCCGCATTTGTATGGATATCAATAAATAATCGCATCACACTCTTATCGGTAATAAATCGATTCTTATTGATAAAACCTGCTAAGGATGATGATAGAGAAATAAATTCATCGTCATTTAATAAAGTTAATTTCTGACAAGTTAATTGACATAAATTTTGGAAATCCTTTTGATTATAAAGTGAATAGGAGTTATCCATGTTGTGACGAAGTTTGGAGAATGATAGTACTATTGTAGCAGGATCGTAGAATTGTTTATTTCGTTTAATAAATTGTAAAATAGATGCACAATTTGTTAATCGTTGTAATTCATCGTGCAATTGGCTATCCTGGAATAGATCTGTTGTAAGTGTGCGAGGGTAAAACTTTAGTAAAAATTCATATTTATTGACACTAGTTAAGCAGCGCATAGTGCTATCATAACTTGCAATGGTACTTCTATATTTGGCAGTATTTGTAACAGCAGATATTCCTCGTCTTGCCAACAACAGCAGTAGTAAACGACTAGACAGCATGTTGATTACAGTTTGTGATGCAACATTTACACGCCCAACACACTATTTTTACTATAATAATCCGATAGCCAAAATGATTGTTGCCACTTTCAACTACTGGTAGTCGATTGCAAAACTGAAATTAGCAATGGATCGATAGGAGATACACAGCAAGTTGCTCGATAAAAGTACTTGAGGATCTTGAATTCTGCAGTGATGATATCCCTATATTCAAATTGCAACAAGTTGTCACACAGTGTAAGGTTATACAGGTGCTATAAGAGGTCGCTATCTGGTAGCCATTAAATAATTCTCCATCAATAACGAATTGAACTCGCTCGCTTGCAAGCGAGCGATCGCGATTCCACAATCGCTCACCAAAACCAACGCTAGCAGAAATATCCTCTCTCTCTACTGTACTTTGAAATGCTTCTATCTCGCTCCAACTAGGGCATAGGACTTTACTGTTGGCTGATGCAACAACATTATTCCTGAATTAAGAGTAAGGATAAACTATCGAGGCAGCTCGGCATCTACGATCCACTCAACCTTTAACTTAATAAATAATATGATTAGACAACTGTAAAGGATCCGAGCCACAGCAGTCAGATTTGTGCATTTCAAATTAGCTTAGTGTAGCATGTAGTACCAGGTGGTCTAGCCACCATGCAGAAGTATCGTGCAACAGGGTATTGCAGGCTTACGAAAGACGGTGTTATAGTAGACTGTGTATTATAAAGGATGGTATGGGTACCACTACAATGAACAAGGCAATAGTCCAGTCTCACGAGATCATTGCTGGCTATAGCTGATTGCACGTTTACTTGATTGCCGCAATTGGTTGATTAAGCAGTTTAGCCTTCGATTTAGCCATTAAGTAAGACTGGAAGATCACAGTAGAGGTCAATAATCAGCTTACACAGCTGGTAATCATCATTGCAAATTCACAAGTACTGGTAGAGTCGAGCTAGAAGCTCATCGATTTCAATCGGATTGCACAACAGAATTCAAGGACGTGGAGATTAGCCTCGCCAGGACGAACTACGCTACGGTAATCAAATTAAATTTATTGGCGAGATTGTTGCAACAAGGACACGCATTTGGAAGCCAATTGAGCTATAGCATACTTCTTCCATACACTTTGGCAAATCCAAAATAGGTGTTAGCTTCAACCAAGTGCTCGTTTTATCTTAAAATTCATTCTCGACTATGATACCATGGTATTTTTTCAATTTTCAACTCAACTTGAGAATTAATGATCAAGGAAAAAAATGAAATGCTACCTGATCTCCAATTGATTAATAAGGCGATTATAGGCAAGAATGGCTATGCATAAAGTTTACCGTAAAGTGGTGAACATGGTAGCACACTCCAGAGATACTTTAACTTTCACGTATTTACCCCTATCAAGTTATCGCAGATGTAGCAATTTTTTATTTGGTATTGTTGATCAATTAAACAGTCCGACTGCTATCAAACAGGAGTTATACAATGCAAATCGATACTCACAGCAAGATATACACGAATTAAATGATCAAGAACTAGTCAAGATTATGGCTGTTACGCATTCCACTTCATGGACATCCAGATCTTTCAAGCCGCTAACACTTCGAAAGTGGTTCCAAATTAACGTGGAGGATGAATGTTGCCGTCGATTGCACAATATGGATAAACAACTTTGGTTAAACTTGGTGCATATTTCTTCCTCTCCTCATGTTCCTATTCGGAGCAGATTTACTAAAGCATTAGCCAAAAGAACTGAACGAGAATTAGATAGTATTGATGATTTATCGACTATGACTAAGCTATTTCAATTGTTTGCTGAACGCGGTAGTAAATTTCAATTTCTAAATAAATTAGAGCAAAGATTAGCTCGAAATATAAAGGATATTAATCTACAAGATATAATTCCTCTCTATCATGGCGTAGCTAAAAATAAAACTAAACATAAACCACTACTGTCAGCCTTGATTGATCATGCCTGTCGTAATCTTAATCATCTTGACGATATCAGCATTCGTAATCTAGTATTGATGCTCACTAAATGTAGAGTCTTTAACATGGAATTAATATTCGACATAGCAGCAATTTCAATCTTAAAGCTTTCAAATTGGTCACCATATACTGTTGGAGTCATAGCTTGGGCATTTGCTAAACACCTCATTTATAATCGCGAGTTATTTGAGGCCGTTGGCCAGCACTTTATGAATAATCATCAACAGTATGGTCAATATGATGTTGCGCAAGTATTATACTCCTTTGCAAAAGTTAATTTTAAACCGTCCAATAGTAAAGAATTCTTTTCTGCCATAGAAAATCTATTAAACCGGTCATATGATAACTATAATCCAAAGTTTTTATTAAACATTGCATGGTCTATGGCGATCTTGCAACGGTATCATCGTCCCCTCTTTGCTAAGGTATTCGATCCAACCTTCTTACAAAGTAAGTTCATTTACTCAGAGTATGATATAATACAGTCATTGCACAATTGCTAGCTATAAAGATAGTATATTCGTACACCTTAATTAGTATTTTTATTAATAAATGTACAATACACATATATATATATATATTTTAATCATGATCATCTACAAACGCTAGAATGTCAATCGAATTCCGGACTAAGCCGTGTAGATAAGGTGCAGTTATGCCAAATAGACTTAGCAGTCAAACTGGAATACGGAGATGGCTCTTCCGAGTTTTCTTTGCCATTACCACTACGAAATCAAATTATTAAAACTTTGGCCAATTTACAGCGGATAACATCGACGATAGAGATTGAGGTTCAGCAGGCTATGGAAAGAATTTTTGGTGGTAAACAATACTTTGGTTCTGAAATATCTTTAGAATGTGGGTACAGCCTCGATATGGCGTTTGTTTTGGATGACAGAAATCGGGCTCTATTATGGCGTGATTTTGATAGTATCCGTCTAAATGAGGACATCTTTGCTGTCCTTGATACTAAGCGGTAATGATACTTACACTTTATGACCAAATATATTTAAAAAGATTGTTACGGATTTAGTTTTCCTGATAAAGTCGTTTCAAAGAAAGCCAGTGTTGCTAATGTTTAATTATGCTACTAAAGGAATCCACTACGTAAAGTAGCTGTGGAGGTTGATGGCTCCCATCATTTTGCATATAAGACACGAAGACCATTAGGTGACACATTACTCAAACATCGTTTGTTGAAAGCTTTGGGATGGCAAATTATA